AGGGAAGGGCTATATTCCACTAAGATTTTCATTTTGTGCTGCCAGAACCACTTTTGGCTCATGATTGATTGATAGATCCCAATCCAAATCCAATTGCTCATCCTTTCTGCCCAGGAGGATTCTGGATTTATTGATCTCTGTCCAAGCTCATCTGAGAAGAACAATGCTGCTATAATGGAGAGAGTGCCACTCGGGGTTCTGCATTGTGCTACTTTTGTTTCTGCTGCCAACTCAGACCAAGGCTTCAACTGCAGAACTTTCAGCAGCTGGCAGGAGCAATTCTCCACCTCAGACAAATTTGATCTACCATTCCACTACATGTCCTTTGATGGCATATTCATTTCGGCACATTACCATTGTACAAACGCAGGCTGACCCAGTTAGCTCTACATGCAGTGTGAATCCAGTTAATTGCATATCAACTAATTGCATAATTCATTTATTAATAAATGGAATTAAAATCCAAGTACTGCAGCTCCTCTACAGAGCATTGGGATTAGTGAAAAGTACAGCCTTGGAAGAATTTCACTTTTCTGATTCATGATACTCCCTTTCCCAAAACTATTCTTTGTCTCTTTTTCATGTGAGAAAAGATCATTTCAATGTAAGGAGTAAGGATGAGATTTACAAAACAGCTACTATACTACCAAAACTATTAATAATCCTTTATGACTGGTCACATAATATCAGGGCACAAATATTGGCATTTTGAAGCACATTGATCCTTCTAAAACCATAGCCTTGAGAACACATACTTTGAGTTTTAAGAGTCCATTTCTATAACTCAAATGGAGGGTCTCCTGGTGGAATGATTATCATCCTCAAAGGGTCAGTGCTGCATGGAATCTCTGTCCACCAGAGGAGATGAGAGCCAAACTTTCCACCCAGGTTTTCCAGAACTCAGTCTGGACCTCTATAGCTTCATCAGAAGATTTGTATCTAGTAAGCTGCCAGAAGTAAAAAGCAAGTGCTCAATATCAACATCTTGCCCTAGGCACATCCTCTATTATTCTCACTGATGGTTTGGGGAGTAAATCATCACTTTTTTCTTTTTCTCCTAAACCACAAATATAGGAATGGACTTCTCATTTAATCTGTGTCAGTTATGGTTTGGATCTTAAATTCCCACCAGAAGCTCATGATTGAAGGCTTGGTCCGTAGTGTAGCAGAGTTCAGAGGTGGGGCTTTTGGCTTATGAAACTCTGACTTCATCAAAGGATTAATCCACTTATGGATTCATAGTTTAATGGTCTATTAAGATGTGGTAGAAACCAAGGGATATGCAGCCTACTTGGAGCATTATGTCACTGGACACATATTCTAACAGATGATATTTTGTTCCTCACCTCTTCCTCTCTCTCTGCCTTCTGGCTTTTCCATAAAGTGAGCATATTGGCTCCATTATATGCTCTCCACCTTGATATTTTGTTTCCCTATAGGTCCAGAAATAAGGAAGCCAAATAACCATGGACTGACACACCTGAAACCATGAGCTGAAATAAATTTTTCTTCATAGAAGTCTGTTCAGGTAATATTTCACAGTGACAGAAAGATGATTAACACAGTAGCTGAGACTGGGCATCCCTAGAAGGAGACCTGAGATAAGAATTAGAGGGCAAATGTGCCAGAAATTCCCTCAGGAAGCAGTAGAGGAGGAATTGGGAAGTAAGACAGGAAGTAAAAGGAGCCCAGTGAGAGGTAGGTTATAAAGCACATTATCACTGGAGCAGTTGGAGCTTCTTCTGTTTGGGAACTTAGGAGATGATGTGGAGCACCCTCAGCTGTCTCATGGCAGGAGTTAAGAAGTTAAACTGGGCAAGTCTGGTCCTAAGGCAGTGCAAAATAGATATTAAAATGGAGGCATGTATATCATTTGACTTAAATCCAAGTCTCAGCTGTTTTGTGGACTCCTTATGTGCCCTAAGATGATTTGCTAGGCCTCTCTGAGACTATGTATTCAGAATTTGACAAAGTTCATAAAATTTAAAAAGATATTCATCCATCAGATTTAATCTTGAGGCTAAAAGGGAAAATGGAAGTAAAGATGACTAATTGGCCCACAGTAAGTGTTCACAGCCTATTTTCATTAGTATGAACTGACTCCATCAAAATTATTCCAAATAACAAAGATTTGAGGCTAAATCTTCTATTAGCCTCATGTTCTTTCCTATCATTCAATGCTCCAAGTAAAATCCTGAAAATTAGTTCAAATCATGCATGATTGCATTAGAAGTGTGCTGACCTCTCTTCCAATCCCTACAAGATGTCAGTCAGAGCCCATGACTCAGGTAGGCAGGAAGTTTCCTCGACCCACAAATAGAAATAAAATAATTGAGAGACAGAAATAAAAACATACAAGCTGGTTGCTTCCCTGAGGTTAAGAGAACAGATGCCATGTGCCCTGAACAAAACTCTCTTAGCCAGAATAAATTTTGCTTTTTATGCAGATAAGAAGCTGAAATGAAGCTTTCAGGGTCTTGGTGTCACTGGTGTCATCTTTATGTTCATAAATGAAAGGAGAGAAAGGATTTGCCTTATTACAGGAAAAAGGGCCAAATGTGTTTGCTTTCAAGCTCAGAATGAAATGAATGCATTTTCTCAATGTGGAACTTGGTTTTGATTACTCCTCTCAAGAAGGAGAGCAGGAAACAGCCGCCCATACCCACCCAAACTCCCCTCCGCCTTTTTTATTTGTTATTGAAGCAAATGAGGCCAATTGTTGGAAACTTCTGTGCAGCTCTGAATGCCTCAATTGTGAGTAGCTCAGAGATTAATGCATTTAATTTACCTCTTTGGTGTATTCGAGACACCATTCAGCAGCCGATTGGGAGTTCCCAGCCCTACAAGCTGCTACATGATGAGACACACTCAGGCTGAGTCTACACCAGCTTGCTTTACAGAGCTTGGGCTGAGCCTAGGAGGGAGGATTGGAGACCCTGCATTTCCAGACTCCTTCCTCCTCTGCAGGGGCCTCAGGTGACAGAAATGAGAAGGCTTTGAATAGAGAAAAAGACAAGCGCAAAGAACCTGTATTTACCAACCTCCCTGCACTAGGTGCTCTCTTCTCCTACAATGTTCCCACCAACAAAGAAATCAGTTCCATTTAAAACAAAGGGGATTAAATACTTTTCTTTACAGATGAAGCAGTTTTTTTATATTAAACATTAGTTTGGGTCTTGTGCAGGACTAACAGAGGCTACACTCCTGCCTTGTTTATTTTCACACGTTTAATGAATATTTACATTACGGCAGGCACAGGGATAGGTCTGAAGATGGATGAGGGACAAAACGCATGGTTCCTTCTCTTCTGTTCCTTCTAGTCTGCACAGGAAGGCCAGTAGTACTTGAACTACATGAAGATCTATTGAACAAACAGTTTTCAAAAATGTCAGAAGATAAGCACACAGGAAATTTAACTTCAGCTGAGGAATTTCAGGGAAATTCTTCCTGAGGAAATGAAATTTAACTCCTATTTTCAAAGATGAAGAACTAAGAAGAAAGAAACAATGTTTGAGGGCAAAGAGAACCCAGGCCCCATGGCTTTCAGCCCACAGGTGGTTCCATGGCAGGTGTGTAGTTACACTGGAGTTGTACATTTGGCTAGGTTTCTAGTGTCTGAGCTGCCCTAGGGTCAACATCTCTGGACCTCATAGGATAGAGACACTGCCTCTTAGCTTCTATGTCCTTAATCTTCAGTGCTTCATTGACTTGTGAATCCAGTGGAAGGGAGATATTTCCATATTCATTTTCAACATCACCTGGGCTCTTATCCTTGGTGTGTGGCTATGCATGGTTCTACCCATTCTCCTTAAAAGATAAAAGACTATGAAGAACTTGTCATCTCACTCTTCCAACCCCAGCAGGGGTATCTTCCATAGGAAATTACTCTGACGGATTTGCTTTTAGAAATTGAGAAATACGAAGCTTTGATCCAAGATTTTCTCAGACAACTTTATTTAGGATCAAAAACAAAGTAAAATAACTTTATAGCTCCTTACTAATAGGATATTCTCAAAGTGGAAGTTCATTTTGATTACCCTTGACAGATTTTCCCTTGATACTCAGAAAATATTGTGAAGGGGCTGCATCAGAACATAATAGGTTATACCTGCAGAAGATGTGCAACACTTTTAGACCAGACCAAGCTTCAAATGCCAATTTTCCTATGCAATGAGTGTGTGTATGTGGGGGGGTGGTTCTTCCCATGGGCAGTAACAAACAGTCTAAGAAATCTAAATCATTAATAAACCATGCAGTATCTGGAGTTAACACCATATAAATATGTGGAGTGTGGATTTCAAAACCAACCTCAAGTGCAAGGTGAGTCTCTAACTTGACCCATGACATGAGCAGCCCATTGCTCCACTTGGGGGTTCAGTTGTTATGATTTCCTATATGGAAGACTTATAGTTAGACACCATTTTTGGATTGTTACAAGGACGGAGGAAGAACTTCAGAAGAGGGACTGGCCTACAATAGCTTATTGATGAATAGTGTCTGCAGTCACAAAGAATGGACAGGGTACACATGGCCTCCCTTAAGCGTGCTTCAGCAGCCTGGCAAACAGGAGGACACCATGGGTCTCTCCCAAGACTCCTATCTCCCAACTGCAGAGAAACTGAACTCTAATAAGGAGAAATGTCAGTAGAGTGATGTGTGAGCCTCAGAAGACTTCATCATTCACTTTGAGATGTTGGCACAGAGTCAAGTTAGTTCTTATGTGACATTAAAAACCTTACTTCAGTGAAGAAAACAAACAGATAAAAAACACCCGCTAATGACTTTGGAAGGCCGGAGAGCAGCTGAAGTATTGTTTTTTTAAATGCAATAGATTTTAAACAGCATTTCCAATAATGAATAAGTCACCCAATTACTGCGCTCTTCTCATTCTGAACACCTGTCCCAGTGATTCGCAATCCCTGGAGTGACTTTTATTTTTAACAATATTTATTATCATGAGTGTTATCACATTACATGAAATCAGCTGGAGACAGCGGCTGTATTTGCTGCTATGCTGATGGCATCCAGGAACCGAGAAGTGAAGTTTTTTCTCATTTTCTTTCTGTGGCAGTGTTCTGAGGTGCCATGACTGTCTGCCCCCAGTAGACAAGGAGGGTAATCTCATAACTGTTTCACAGAGCAAGAATAACTGAGACCTCCCTCATGACTTTGATCTCAAAGGGTCTCTAAGAATGTCACAAAGTACTTGCTGAAGACAAGTCCAGGAACAGCTCCGCTTAGCATCCAAAGGCCAGCACTGTGGGGCATGGGGCAAAGTAGCTCTGTCATGGTCACATGGCTTTTCCCATTTGTTCCTGAGGAACTGCTGGAGAAACTTCAAGAAGACAAAGGAAAAATGATGGTGCATCCTTTTATGCTCTTCAGATATGACTCTGATATCAAGCATAGACTATACATACAGTTCCTGCCATGTCCTTTAGCATTCAACCTGCTTCCTGTCCTCCTGAAGAATCTGGCTGGAAAGAGAGCAGCAGGCTGCATTAAATATCTAGAGGGTATTTATAAAGGAACAACCTATTAATTATCAAATCAACATTTACTGAAGGCCCGCTATACCTTCCTTGTGTGATATTTTGCATGCCAAGTAGAAGTGAGAACAAGATCTGTATTTGGGACAGTACTGACTCTACTTACTATGGGAAATAGTCTTGTTAAACTGAAGTTTAGTTAAGGACGACAGTACTAGTACTTTGACTCACGGGTAAATATTGAGCTATTCAATGTATATGACTTATAATAAGAATATTGAGGCACAGAGGCATAAGTTGCCCAACGTCAGATAGATACTAAATGGTGTCTTAGTTACTTTTATCTTATTGCTGAGACAAAATAACCAATATCCACAAGTTAAGGGAGGAAAGGTTTATTTTAGCTCACAATTTGTAGAGGTTTCAGTCCATAATCAGCTGGCTCCAAGGCAGAGTTGCATGAAAGATAGAATTGCAGAGGAGAAACGGTTCATCGCAGGCAGAAGGCAGCAAAACAATAAGGGACAACCACAGTTCTTTCTATCTCTTATATCTTATCCAGGCTACTTAGGTTGGGTAGAATTTACACCCTTAATCCTAGTGCCCTTTATCCTAGCTTTGCACCATGAGTTAATCCCAGTATCACACACTCTAGATCCAGACACCTCTGAAAAAGCCCCACCTATAATGGCATGAGGCATTGCGGGACATCTAGACACAAACCATAACAGTGATCAACTTGGAATTGGGAGCTACAAAGTTGGTGTCCTCTGTCTAGGCACCTTATTTCTATCTTGAGAGGTTGGATGACGAGCTGCCATTAGACAGTCTGTATACTTCAACTGCAGGCTAACCAATGTGCTAAGTACTTAGTATGCCATAAAAAATTTAGTGCTTAGAATTACCAAACCAAGGAATCTTGATTCTTGGTTGTGTGACATAGATTTATGTTTGAGGAAGAATTTCACACAAATTTAACACATAAAATAAAAGATGATAGGGCAGAACATGGGATCACAGTGGTTAGAACCAGAGACAGGGTTATTTTCAGGACTGTCTCTTTCTTGTTCGCTGTCTCACTACGTCACTTACTGGGTCAAAGGCTTCTCCCCTGGCTGTAGTGTAAGGATAGAGCTCTTAGAGTAAGGACATTGACAGACTTACTGAGTGCCTACTCTAAGACTAAATACCATGACCATCAAAGAAAGATCTTAAAAAGTTTGTTCTTTCCATGTATCCGATGTTCCATGTTCTATGTAGCATATGTTGGACTGAGAGATGTGGGAAAGAAGTGGGAAGAGGGGAGATACCACTGAGAGAATCGATCATTTGGAATTTAACCTCACGCAGGCTAGTAAGGGTCAGTCTATTGATACCCATTTTTGCAGATGAGAAATTGGGGTACAGAGGTTAATCAATTACTAAATTGTCAACCCCTGTTCATAAGATACCTAACCATGATGAAATACATAGCAGTTTTGTGTGGTACAGCATAGACTCCAAGCCATATCAATGCCTTATCAATCACTGAACTTTTCGTTAATCCTCAAACAAGAGATATGCTAACCTGCTTAGGAAGAATGAGCACACTCTGGAGAGGCAGCAGGGAAGTCTTTTCACAGAAGGCAACAGGAGGCAGAAGAGAGTGAGGCTGGCATAAAAGAAGCCAAAGAGGCTTCAGTGACTCAGAGGGCTTTTTGTCTGGTCATAATAATGCGAATGACAGTGGTGTCTTCACAGCATTCTGTAGGACAATGGGTGCTTTCTACCCATCTCACCTAAGCTACCTATGGGTTGACACCAAGCAGATTTGCAGAACTTTTCTACTGAGCTCATGTCTGTGGGTAACCTCAGATAAAGGCCAGAGTTTCCTCAAAAGAGCTGCACGAGGTCAAACCATCATGGTCGCTCTGGGGAATAAGGAGATATTCCGATTTTTGTCACATTTCAGCTCACATGCTCTTCTATGTCTGAGGTTCTTACAGTTTGGAAGTGCAAAAATGGCCAAGCTGCCAGTCAAACCATGCCCAGCAGAACCCATGACATAGATAGAGATCTACAGTCCAGGCACTAGTCAGCTGGGAAATGGGAACTCTCCCAGGACCTCAGGGGACTGGTTCTCTCATCTGAATTCTATGGTCATATCCATTTCTACTCGTTCTTCCTAGGCCATGCCTACGCAATTTTCTGAGTGTTTTAGCCTCAGTCTCTCCATTTCTAGACTTGTGGGAGTCTTCATTAACAGCTTCATCTGCCCATTGTTCATTTTGTCATGTCTTCCTTTTCTGTTAAGATCCTCACCTTCCCTCCTTGATCCTCTCTCCTTGGTCACAAGCTTCCATTCATGTTCCATGGCTTTGAGAGTCAGCTCATGCCTTGTCAGATACCCTTTTACAACTCTTTCTGCTAAGTGGGTCAACACCCTTGGAATGTGCCCAGACTCTCATTGTGGATTTAACTCCAAGGACAAAAATCAGAATGGCTTCTTAAAAGAAGGCTCCCAGATTCACTTTGCCCCACTTTCCTAGTGAACAAGTTTCATTGGTTTATTGAAAATGTCTGGATTTATATCCTTGCTTTACCATTAATAAAGAGCACAAATGACAGTTATTCCAGTGGCTCACTGCTCAATGCATGGTGTGTATGTGTGCGACTGTGTGTGTGTGTGAAGGGTTAAAAACACACTACCCTAAAATATTGCACTTTGGCATTTTAGGACACAGCAGAAACTGGAAGACTATGTTCATCTTTCTTCCTTTTTTTCCTGAAGCAGGTCATAAGTCTCTAATGTTAGAGTAGCCCACATCCTTATTTCTGAAGACATAGACACAGGTAGGAATCCTGGGTCTTATTAAGATTTCTCCCAATTTATTATCTTTTATAACCATAGCCCAATTTATTTGATTGAACTTTCCTACTATTGTCCACTCTTCATCAATCCTAAGGATAAAATACTCAAGTTTTTCTGTTCCTTGGGTCATTTCTTTATGAAATGAAACATACACTAAATAAATTTGTTTTTTCTCTTCTCAGTCTGTTGCTCTAGGATTCTCACCTGGTTAACCATCATGAGACAGCAACCTCTGCACACACATCCCTTTTCAGATATTAGACAGATGACACAGAAGTATATATAATCTAAAGATGAATCTTGATCTTTATTGCTCTAGTTACTAGCTTTTGATTAGAAATAAAGCACATAATGTCTCTAAGCCTTCATTCTCATCTGGAAAATAAGACTAATTACATATGCTTTTGGAGATTTTAAAAAGAATTAAATAATGTAGGGCTAAAATCTACCTGCAACTGATGTTTCTTGTTTATTTTATTTTTTTGTTTTTGCACTACTCGCAATTAAACCCAGAGCCTTCACACTGAGCTACGTCCTAAGCTTCCCTAAACATTCTTAAAATTTTGAGACAAGCTCTTGCTAAATCACTCAGTTGCCCAGGCTGGAGTAAAACTCATGATTATCCTGCTTCAGCTTCCCAGTCTGCTAGGGTAAGAGGTATGTGCCACCACACTTAGCTTACGTGTAAACTAGAACTAGATCCTAAACACAGAACAAAATATAAACATGAAATTGGGGACAAAGGAAAGATATCAAAAGAGAAATGTAATTTAGCTAGTTGCATGTTAGCTTCTGTGACAACACACTCAAGAAGCATCATCCAGACCCACCAGCTTTGTGAAACATCCTCAGCAAGGCTACCTCCTCTTTGTCCCTGCTGCTGAGAACATTTTGGATAGTGCAGGCATGGCACAATGCATTCAGCTCCCACTGCTTTCTAGGGGTCAGAGGTGGAACTAACCTTGATCACCTGACAGGCACTATCAGTCCTGGAATGAGCTTACCTTCCAGAGCAGTCTCTTCTCAATGGACTCAAGCTTAAGAGAGCCATCCATCAGGCAAATAGACTCAGGGAGCTGCGCTTATTTCTCACATAAAACACTGATTCTTTACTCCTCATCCTGATAACTTCAACTGAGAGGCCAAAGCTAAAAGAGGCACACAGTTCAAATATGCTCTGCTCAGTACCAGAATATGGCTGACTAGGACAAGGAAAAGCCAGTTCACCTGCTCGGCTCCCTAGCAGCTTCTATAGAAAGAAATAAAGAATTTGGCTCTCAGGGGCTCTTAAACCATCCTCGCTGGAAGCTAGCTCCACTCAAAAATATTTAATGAATATGCTCCCACCTTCCTAAAAATAGGAAAGAAAAATCAATAAACACTAAATGGTTACAATCTTTGGATCAAAGTGGTTTTAAATAAGGTTGTCTTCAGCTTTAACCCCTCCCTGACATTCTTCACCTATAAGCAAAACATGCTAACTAGGTCTTTCTGAAGTGTGCATGGTTTGTCCCTTCCAGTCATCCACATGTGGTGTTCCACAGCTGTAATGGTCTTACCTAGTCCATGTGGCAGTTAAAGCTGGATTTGTAATTAAGTAGGGGAATTTCAAAATCTACTTCCAAAGCCTTTTGCTCTTATTCCTTATGCTGAGTATGTTTGCTAAGCTTAGAAATTTGTACTGAGGAAAGAGTATGAGACAAATTAGCATAGTTGATTCTGACAACCCAAACTTTAGGGTCTTTGCATATGTTTTCTCTGCCTGGAATGCTTTTACCATATATGGAAAAGGTGAGCTTTGTCTGTATCTTAGGCCTTCACTTACATATCCCTTTTTTCAGTAAGGCTTTTCCTGACACAAAATTCCAATGTTTCCCTTAATTGGAGCATCATCTATTTTATACCCCTCTCCAGCAAATTTCCTAGTAATGATCACTTACTAGCAGTGTGGATACTGTATCAGTTAAACTTGTTTACAGTCCGTGTCCCTCTCAAGGATGTGAGAGGGCTTGGGGTGCTGATGCTGTCCAGGCTCCTAGAATAGTGCCTGATATTGAGAAGCAGCTCAGTCGATGTTTGCTTGAGGACAGCCCGTAGTTAAGAGGCAACGTTAACAGGATTCCCAGAGGCTCAGGCCCCAGTTCCACCACCCATCAGCCCTTAAGTTTGGTCAAGGATTTACTTTGCCTCTCTACATCTTGTTCTCTTCATCTGCAAAATGGGAGTGATGGTAGCAGTTCCTACTTCACAGAGCTGAGACAAAGACAAATATTTGACATATGGTTGTGTGTTCTTTAAGTGATTATGATGACTGATGTTATTAACAGTGTTACCCAGCAATTATTAAGAACTTACTTTACACTGCAAACCATTTCATGAGCATGTAAAGTACTTACATTAATAGTTGGTACATATTAAGTACATAATAAATAGTAGCTACCATTCTGTTTGATTCCTTTTAACCAGCAAAGCTACGTAGTATGGTACATGCTATTATTTTTTGTTCTGATTAAGCTTGTTAAGTTTGCTTAACTCTCTCAAATGCTGTTTGCTGGTGGGGTTTAACTCCACAAAGCCATTCTGAAGTAGCCCAGAACAATGTGCTATTAATGGAATCACTGACCTCACTGCATGTTTACAAGGTGCAGGTGGTGATGTTTGCTTACAGGTTGGGCTTTTCTTACCTAGTTGCTAGTTTCGGTGTCTATAAGAGGAAACTGCAGCATCTTAGATTACCATCTCCCACTTAAAGTTCAAATTTAATCCAAACCTATTCTTTCCTTTACAAGGGTGAGTTACATGCAATCTATCATATGGGTCCTGTTGATTGAAATTGTTTAAATTGGCTCAGTACAGATGCTGTAAATCCAGAGCACAAAGCTTCTGAACAGACTTGGTTTGGAAAATGAGGGTGTGACTTTCCCCTGAGGGCTTTCAGTATATTTGTTGCCCTATAAAAGCAAATTCCCTCCTATTCCTTTTCACAGTTACTGCTGCAGTCAGAGCTACTCTGAATCTTTCTGCATTGCTGAGGTGACAGGCTTGGGGGAGAAGGACAACAGAGCCATGGCAGGGAAGTGGGAGCAAAGGGAGGCAAAAAGCTCACACCTTTTTAGGATCTTGGAGTCAAGATGACTTTGCAGAACTGACGAGGAAGTGGGAGGGCATTCTCAAGTGATCAGGGCAATAAGTTTTGATTGGCAGCAACCACCTCCAGGGATGTTCCCAAACAGCAGTCTCTACAAGGTTTGGGGTTCTTTTAGCTTCATGCCCCCAAATCCCCTCTTGCCCCAGCAAAAGCAGGTCAGCACAGTGAGGAGACATGGCTTTAGTGAAAAAAGAAAGTGTTCTGGATTTGCAGGGACTGGACTCAGGGCTTATCCCAGGAAGGTGACGGGGAATGAATCCCAAGAGAATAAGCTGATGAGGAGCTTTGCACTATTCTCCTCCCAAGCCCATCAAACTCAGCAAGATAGGAGCTGTTCAAAAGGGTGACCAGACAAGTCCCCAGTGGAAGGATCAGGGAATGAGAGAGATTGAGGAGAAAGTCCATTCATGTACCACTGGGAGGAAAAGGTAGTCATAAAACTTGATGAATGGGGCTCTATCAACAGACAGATTGGATGAAAACAGTCAACCTCGGTACAATATACAGGGGTTTTGAGAGAACAGGAGTTGAAGGTAGGATGACCTGAGAGAAAAGATGGGTACAAGAGAGAAAGGGGCAGGAGAAGCAGCTCTACTAACTGATGGACATGGGAAATATTGCAG